TGGGCAGCCGCCTGGCAAATTTTGGAACTGAGATAAAGCTACACAAATTGCACAGTAGAGTACTAATACCAAAGCCCGTATACGTATTGAACTTTAATTAGACGAATTAATGATGAAACAGTTATTACATCCCACTATCGTTCCACGAACCACGAAATCTGTAGCCCTAGGACGAGCTTGCATTGCTGAGTCTGGGGCATTCATTAAAGGGGGCTCATGAAACATCAAGTTTAACTCAACGGGTTCGAACCTGCTTGAAGCGATCTCGGTCGGACTTCTTCATGACTCGTCGCATCGAGGAAAACCAGGGCCTCGGAACACCAGGGTTACAACTTGTTGTAATATGTTGTGATTATGTATTCTACAGCTCGACAAGGAGATGCTGAGACAACAGCCGACCCAGCATGCTTGTACATGTAGTTCTTTTAGATTCGGACTGCAGACACACACACACACGTACACATACACGAACATGCGCAGACTCTTGCTGCGGGGAGGGCACAATGTACCGCAGAGATACGAGGGTTTTGCATTCGAGTGGCCAAATAGCCCCATCCACCTGTGGAAGCAGGTTGGGTGAGTGTGAAGTTGAAATTAAACATAACACGAATTGAATCCCACCAAATATTCGAGCAGTCTTGCACCTAAACATCAAAAGAGTTCTCCAGCAGGCTAGGTGCGTTTTCACATGCCGCCAGTTCATACCAGCGAGCGCTGCAAGCATTCGCAAGTGTGGCACATACATCAACATGCTGGAAGATGGTTGTTCTATGCCAACATAGACTCCCCGAAGTGTAGCAACTATGGCAAGGAACATTGCCCGGAGCACCAATATATTCGCTTTTTTGGTGTACTTGGGGTTCCCGAAGGGAGCTGTCGGGGTCCTTTTGTGTCGGCTGCTCGACATCCAAACGAATGTAGAGCATGGTATTCCCAGCCACAAAACTGCCGTTTCCCGCAAAGCCAGCGTTGCGTCCAAAGCCCTGACCAGCCCAGCGATTGAGCCCAAGTCATGGTGATGGCCGAAGATGAAGTCCTGAACCCGAGCCTCAGCACATAAGTCCGGATGATGCTAACAATAATGATGGTGATTCTCAAGGATATGAAAACTCCTGATTTGATAGCTGGGCCGAAGCATCACCGAGACACTTTGGCAAGAGCCCTTGAAAATGCCCTCGCCAATTTTCCGGATCCACTGAAAAGCTCGAACATATCAAGGTCTCTCTCGAACTCCTGTGGTACTGGTAGATCGATATTTTTCATCTCAGCCACGTAATGGCATAGCTGAATCCTGAGTATCCAGCTGCACAAAGTTTACAAACGACAGCTCAGAAACACTGCGCTGTAGACGATATCGACAATGGCGTCATTCTGAGTCATTATTATTGCATCTCAGGCACAACACAGACGGAATCCCCAGGGCCAACAGGTGGGCAATAGTTCCACCACTCAGGAAAAATGTTGGAGCAGGCATTCTGGAATGCAACAAATATAATAGTAAACACTGTACTCCTGCTACTTCCCCAAGCTTACCTTTGTAGAATTGCCACTAGCCCTTCATGAAATGTAGATAGTGCAGGGTGTGTGTATACACATACATATGTGGTTGTTTGTATAATTTATTTATGCAAACATGTATATATGTGTGTATATCTATACGTGCATGTGTGTGAATGTGCCAGTCCTAACTTTTGAGCACAAATGTGTTGAAGCAGCTCTCATGCTTTGCGACTCACATGCAGTGCCCGAGTCCTCAACTGTCATGCCCTCAGGTCGCACAACAGTTTTTAGCTCGCACCCCGCAGCTCTCCAGATCTGCACCACGAAATCAACACGTGCGAAAATGGCACCGATCGCTCAAAAGCTACCTTGTTCGTATGTTGTTGGTACGCATGACATGCACTACTGCTTAGCCTTCGATGGCCACACACGTGCTTCTAATTGGTCAGGATTGGATCCTCAAGAAATCGCTCCCTATCGTCACATCATCCCCTCCACGAGGCTTTGACTTGTCCAATCAGCTCCTGGGCCCTCTCTTTCGTCACATCCGTCCACCCGGCAAGGCACTTGGCCAAGTAGAACCTTGGATGCTTTTGCACTCTCAGAAAAGGGTTCTTGCACGAAACAGTCTGAACGGTGCAAACTCAAATCTGTAGGCCGACATCTACAGCAAAATCGCCAGCAGGTTTCGATGTTGCCATCCCACTGTAGACATTCCAAGACAAGTGGGTACCATTCTTTTGGTTCACCTGTGCTATCACAATTGTAGTATGTAGCTCGCACAAACACCATGCAAAATTCATTTGGACTTGAACACGACGATCCCACACCGAGCCTCCATCCCGAGGCTTTTGCGAACCAATGTCGCCACCTCTTCGTCGATGGCCGTGTTACACACATAGAAGGCGCTTCGGTCTATCTGGATGCCGATCGCGGTATTCGCACCACATCCCGGGCACCGCAAATTGAACGACCTAAGAACAACACTGGATCAACCTGGTCTAGTCGTCTGTATCATGAATCACACAACAAATGTGTAATGTACTGAACCGAGTGTCCCTTTCTCTTCAGGGTTAAAGGCTGGCAGCAACAAGTCCGGGGTGTCCTTGGCCACAACCTTGAACTTGTTGAAGGCGTTCTGCATTGCCTGCAGCTCTTGAAGAGTTTAGTTTAAGTTTAGTTTTTTAATGTTGGGGAGGAGTGGCTGTTCAATATACTGCCCAATACATTGCCCGCACGATCCCCGTAGTTGCTTGGTATTCGCAAACGAGTTAAAGAAATTGCCAGGTTATGATCACTGCTCTGACTATTTGCCACATTTGTGCGTGTACACATACATACAAGCAGTGATGAGTTTGCTTCCGGTTAATTATTAAGAAAGGCGAACACACAACCTTGGTTTCCATCGCAACCAATACTAACACAATCTTGTACTTAAAAGATCCCAGACAGTGAAACAGGATTCTGCGTTGATCAAATATATTTGGGTTAGATGAACAATCCCGCGACAAAGACTGACTAAAGCTCTAACCCTGTTAAAATTGCTGAGAAGCAGTGGGTGTGGCAGCTGCAGCGGTTGGAACACTCGTGTCCTGCCAAGATTGTATAATTTGTATGTTCATTCAAGTTTTATGCGACAAAGCACAGACACAATAGCACTCATGAAATCTGATCAGGAAATCTGTCCTTGGCCTGTGTCGCACCTCTGCCCACTCCACGGCCCCCGCTCCCACGACCCGCGCTGCTCTTAGGCTCAGCTTTAGCCGCTTTCCCTCGCCCACTACCCTTGGCAGCCTGAGCTTTCGCCTTCGCCTGTGCCTTCGCCTCTGCTTTCGCCTGCTTTTCTGTTTGCTTAGCTGCTGCCGCAGCAGCTTGCTCATCTCGAGCACGCTTGCGGCCCAGCCGCTGCTCCTGCATCACACTTCTGACATCGTCAGACATCTCGACCTCTGCCGGCTTCTCTCGATCACCGCGCAACAGTGGCTCGGCATCCTGCAAACAAATACTTGAAGCATGTTCGGTTAACCTATCCAACATGTTTTGAGCTAGAAATCAACTGCTGCCCAATCCACATCTCCTTGAAAGCAGACTGCCGTTTTCGGTCGACAGTCGTCTTCGGTGCTGACTCGGTGGCAGGAGTATCCTCCAGCCAGAATTGGACCATGAAACTAAACTCCAGATCCAGCATCACTTAGTTATTTGTACTCGAACGATAATGCAGTCTGCTCTCCCCGGAACATAGACACAATTATGACACAAACCCCGAAACGAAAATCTCCTCGGAAGACTTCGGCTTCCCGGATCTCTTCGGCGATGGCTGGGTTGCGGGAATGTCATCCTGCGGCAGTTATTGTGAGGCTCGGGGGTGCAGGGTTTATGGTAAACTGTGGTAAACCCTATATCGTAGTGCACCAAGGAGTGGACTTGAGTGGACTGCTTCAACATGTACACTGACTCCGAATGACAACATCAACCAAACCCCGGATCGAAAGATGCGAATATATGTCTTGAAATCACACCTCCTCGGCAGACTTCGATGTCGCGGCTCTCTCCGGTGATGGTCGGGTCGCGGGAATGTCATCCTCCTGCACAGAGGCTTGATAATTATTGTGTTACTAATTTATGAATTATAACTGGATCTTGTTATAACATTATTCTTTTTAGGTTAGCTTGTTAAGTTAATGCATACCTCGGTGCAAAATAAATGTTCGTTCATTTCCTTCAACTGACGTTTTATGATCGAACAGACCCCAGATACGGACACGAAATTACTTTTACAAAGGCTGCGATAGTCTCTACTAGAATCCGAAACTCCACGGAAGGAAGCAGCCTGCTGCTTCGTAGCCACGGCTCTCTTTGGTGATGGCGGGGTCTTCTTATCGTCGTCCTGTGTTCAACATGAAACTCTGTTCGGTTCCGAGAGAGACAGACAGATGGAGAGAGAGGAGAGAGATAGAGAGAGCGAGAGAGCTACATAAAATATGATTGTCGCTCCAACTTGCCTCTGTGAGATCCACCGGCGCAAATATCGGATCATCAAGTCCAATGCCACCCTTGCCGAAATTGCCGGTATGAGTGCTGATGCTAGATTCGAATAGACTGAATTGAGAAATACTTCATCGTTGTCGAAAACGAAAGTCGACCCCGCTCCTTATCAACCGCCATTGGACGGTTATCGCGATCATGATCCTGTCGCAAAGACAGCTTCAGATTTATGACTAAAGAAGTTTGTCGATGGCAAGCATGATGACTGTGCAATATATATCTGTGCTCCTCATGAACATCGCCCTCGTCTTCGCCGTCATCGTCATCATCACTCTCCGTTCCACTGTCATCCTTGGAATAGAACTGAGAACATCTCAGCATGATGCACATGCACGGTGTACGTGTTTGGTTATCAAAATTACATGTTTAAGCGGTTGGGCTTGTAAACCGGTCTCGTGTGCATCTGACCTGGGTTGGCTGGACTAATTTTGACTCTTGGGGTTTGTGGCTCTGATTTAGAACAGGCTTTTTAGGTTTGCATCTGTGAGATTTTGTGGGTCATGTACACTACTTGAATACAGGCCCAGAGGCTTTTCCATTGTTTCGGCTTGTGTTGGGATTTTTGCCAGCCATGATGCCGCCTTTGGCAGCTTCAGCTGGGCACGGATCATGTCTTTCAAGATTTGCATCTCGGGCGTCCTCGGATTATTCAAGAGAAGTCAATGTACATGACATTACAGACTCCGAACAACTCAGATTCGAATATATGATCGACTAGACACCTCGCATTGGGGCTCCGTCGCGCGTGACGGATCGCCAAAGCACACAAACCTCTCAACCGTCCGGCTTCAGACCCTGCCCAGTCATCAGCTTCCTTTCGGGACTGAAACAAGTTGTGGTTCTCCTCCAACCGTCTGAAGGCTGCCTGTGCTGGTGATTCAAATGACGGAATGTTCAGAAACACCACAAGTGCATGCTATGCAAACAAGCCTTGAAGACAGAGTGGGGAGGCAGGTTCACGCCGTGGCTAATGACGTGCATCAGAATTGTCACGTTGTTCACGATCTCAGGGACAAGAGTTGATCAGGTTTGCTAGTAGCAATTCGTTCGTTCAACAATGACTTGATCCCGCCTCCTTCTCCCACCCAAGACCCATCCCATGGGAGCTATCCAAGTATATGAGGCGGCCGCCGTCCCTTCGCACAATCAGCCAATTCGCATCGGCAAAACCATCCTCAAGGACCCGGAGAAGCTCTGCGGCTTTCTCCCTCTGTTCCGCCGCCGTCGCGACCATTATTGATTGTTCAAAGAATTTTTGAACAACTGCAAGCAAAATGCTGCCAGGCCGGGCAACTGGGTTGCTCAATCATTGCAACGTGTACAGCAGGACCGACTGCACCGGCAGACAGCATGCACATGCTGATTTGAAGTGCTCACACACACACACACCAATGAAACGCAGAGCGGGGGTAGTACCTTCAGCTCTTGCCTTCTTGGCATTCTCCAGCCGAGCTTCTTGAAAAGCAGGCTTCATGATAATGCTGGTAGCACAGCAATCATGACCATGGCCAAAAAACTCCGAATTCTGAATTATAGCCGGTGCCCTCAGTTGAAAAATAATCGAAGCTTGTTCATGATCAATCTAGCATAGCATCAGTTCAACATACTGCCGTAATACTGCCTGGTAGCTACAGATCCAATTCCCACTGATTCCGAATCTCAAGATGCTGGACACATGTGTCAAAATTGTATACACACAAGCTGGACTGCACTGAACATGTCCGAGAATGTCCGAGCCACCACCTGCCAAGCAAACATTGTGCTGCACATCATGCACGTTTCTAACTGCCCCCCGAGGCTGTTCCAGGTGTACTTCGAAGGTTGGGAGACGTGTAGCCCACATGTCTATTGTGAATACTGTGTTTATAGCATGGTATCTGTGTTTTCCCATCTCGGTTCGAGCCAGAATCTACCGCATCTCGTCTCGTTTGAGCCAAAATTATGTCTTCTTTTCATTTGTTTATCCTGGTCGACGTTTGAAGTGGTGCGTTCCTTCCCTACCCCTGAATTCCTCACGATGTTCACTCGCACAATCTACTCGCAGGCGAGCATCATATGCTTACCTGGAGATTTCTTGTACTTCAACAGCAAAAGGCCTATAAATCAAGGCCTTCCATACCCCAGCACGAATCTTCTGCCAAGGCCATGAAAACAATGCCTTAACCCAAAACATGTCCTAAGTATGGCATCGATCACAAAGGCCCAGTTATTTGAGGCCCCAGGAGCCTTAGGGTTCGTGTGGCACTCTGCCTTCCACT